CTGCTTAGCTCCAACAATTGCTTCCTGTTGGGGCCCTAAGGAGCCTGGGCAGGGAGGCGAGGAGTGGCTGGGAGGGGAGGGGTGAGTAGAGGCTGGCGAGGCACCCCTCGACGTGAGTGACATTGAGTTGGCCATGCCCACCCAGTCACATGACCACCTAGCCACACCCTCCCAGGCAGTCATTAGGCAGATCATATTAGTGGTCTGCGGGATTTAATATTATGAATTTAGTGGTACCTGAGGTCCGAAAGGTTGGGGACCCCTGGTTTAAAGAATAAATAGTGGTTACGTTGTTGCCAATATTCTTAAATTGTTCCAGAGTTAATTTTTTTCTCCATTCTGTATTAGTGGGAATTCTTCTTTAATTATAATCTTTAATTTTTTTCTGATTGCCTCTAATAACTAGCCTTCATCTAGCCTCCTCTATCATGTTTTTCTTTCATCCAGAACATTTCTCAGAAATGTTCAGGAACTCAGATCTTCATCTATTTTTAATAAGATTTTAACAACAACAGGAAATATTCTTGAACTTTTTAATAGTCTTGTTTCCCAATAAGCTTTCCAAAATCAACAATCGAATCACGTTTTCATTGCTTATTTCCAAATAAAAATTAATTTTGGAGGATATTGGTGGATGAAGACAGCTTCACTTTTAGTGGCGCTTACGATCACAGTGGAAAGTGGATCCATTGAAGGAACCAGCTACCTGAAACCCTTTCTGAAGAAAGAGAAGGCTTGGGATCACCCACACTCTGACACATAAGAGATACAACGACGTGTTAAATCTTTAAAACTAAAAATGATATCTTTATAGATATTTGTTACCAACAAATCAATTAGTTATGCAAATATGAAGAAATGAGTGGAATAATAAATAAAAGTTCCTATATTACCTAGAGAATGGCAGAGTGTCTTAACTTCTATAGCAAGAGTGCCAATGGATCTCAAGTTACAACTAAAATAAGTAGAATTTATTGGACTCCAATACATTTATGTAGAAAACACTGTCAAAAACAGCACTTAATTGGGGATATAATATTATGCTTCTTTAAAACATATGTTCCTACACTGTCCTATACATACCAAGTTTTGGGAGAAAACAATGATTATATAGATCTGAGTGGTAAAAGCTAAATTTTTCTGAGGATAATATTCTTTTGAACTATACTCCTAGAACTTGGAACTTGAGAACTGGACAATGTAAATGAATTAAAGATTGATATTGCAGCACTGGAAAGATAAATATATGGCATTCAACCCACTTTGAATGCTGTTGACTCTTATCTACTGTCAATTGCTTTGACTGTTAGTAGTTCAGATTATTGTAGAGAGCATTAGCATACAATAAAACTATATTCATTTTAACTGCCTAGATTCTTGATTTCCTGCACTTGACATAGATTTTGTATAGACAAATCTATAATGAAATATTGGACTCATTTATACAGAATAAAGTGGATTTAAAAGTGATACTCGTACAAATATATTAGAAATATATACATATTTGAATATGTTGATGTATATATAGAATTATTACTGTTACAATGACATATCACACTATGGGTTGGTTTTCTTTGTTGTTTTTTCGTTTTTTTGTTAATGCAATGTTTATCTTCTCTTTGACATGTATGATTCCCCATCATTATTATCTTTGGCTTTTGCTCTTTTTTTGTTATTAATTAAAAAGCAATTTAAAAAAGAAAAACACTACAAGAAAGTAGAACTGCACCAAGTTGTATTATATAAAACTAGTAGATTTCAGATTCACAAACAACATTCATATTAAATCTCATTCAAAAAAGTAAATAAATAAAATTTTAAGTTTGCACTACCTATTGACAGTGGAAATTGCATTTGCTACCTTTGAAACAGGATGATTGACCCCACATATTAAGATGCTAGAAACAAATAATTTCCATTACTAATTCTTGCACAATTTACACGATACAATTAGAACCTTGTTCTGATATTACAGAGACTCTAGAACTTTGTTATATGTCAGATGCAATATTTATATTTATGTCACAAATCTTCTAATATCACTTGGGAAAAACAATTGTAAGTATATTGCTTGTCTAGATCTAAACAAATGTATTTTCAAAACTGAGTTACCCAAGCTTATTAAGACTGATGTTACTAAAAAAAGAACACCAAGCAACAGTAATTGTGATATAGTGGTTAATGTGTTAAAATTCAGACCAGGGGAACCCAGGGTCAAGTGCATGCTTAGCCATGAAAATTTATTAAATGATTTTGGATTGGTCATTCTCTTCATCCTTCGGTTCATCCTTCCTCCCCAGAGTTATGGGAATCAAATGAAGATACTGATATAAGTCATATAGAGATCTTTACAAAAGTATTATATAAATCTATCAAATAAATCAATAAAGATCCAAAATTCACATCATGTCATTGTCAGCTCCACTTATATACTAGACCAGGCAATCAATTCCACTCAAAAAATAAAAGTACTTCTATTGAAAGTGGTTGTAGCAACAGAATCTTAGAAGTGTTGCACTTCCTCATTTTCCTTATACTTCAGAGGTTTTTCACTGAGTCACTTGTGAATATCAACTGGATATTCCAGATTTTAAAAAACTGTTTCACTCTTTTTTGTCCTTCTTCTTACTCCCTACAGTTGCAGATTTCCCCACTATGGTTGTCCTATATTTCATTTCTTCTCCTACAAAATACTTGAAACAAAGGGAGAACCAAGGTGTGGGTAAATAGATGGGAAAGAGCTATGGAATAAAACAAAGAAAAGAATGAATGATTTGAGAAAGTTAAACAGGTTAAAAAGCAACAACAAAGGATAAACATGAGAAGAGGAAGAGAACATTGAGAGGAAGAAAGAATATGGAGTGCATATTTGGCTTGTAAAAAAAAAAAGTGAAATGAATTCGATGTGTGTGTCTGAACTCCTGTTTTGATATTAACTTTATGACTTAGTTCTAATATATATAGTATCTACATTTCATTTACATGATATTTATAAAAATAATTTTGCCTTAACATCTTGAAATTGTCACTTTCACTTTGAGATGTTTTCAACTCATCCATACAAGCATAAATCATTTGCATGCTTCTTGGGCACAACCTCTTAATATGGCTAAAGTCAGATATAGCATACTATTGAGAAAGAGAGTAAGAATAAGATAACTGTATCACTTACACAATTAACAGAAATTAAATCAATCTGCTGTATATTCCTATAAATATATGCTATATTCAATCTAAAGCAGAATAAAATACTGAGAGTCCCTAATAATTTTGAAAATTACAGTAATATAATAGTTTCCATTGGGGAAAAACATTTATATTCTGAGAAAAAAGTATGTATTTACTATGTAATAAGGCTATTATTGGGATCATCTCCTGATCCTCGATACATTCAAATCAAACTATGCTGGTGAAGATTGCAAGTCTTACAATCCACAACACAAGGTATACGTTGTCTCAGGAATAGAATATCTGTTTTAGTAGGAATTATTCCCAAGTAAGTTGAATTGCTGTTGCGAATATAAGCAGATCTAGTTCTTATAAAATTAGACTGCTTTGCCTGATATTACAAACTAAAGGAAAATGCTCAAACATCAATGTTAGCTACTTTTGGTGTGGCATATATTTAAATTTAAATGTTATCATCTCAGAGAAAAGATTTACTTACTTTTTCTGTCATATGAAAATTGATATATCTATATTATTACAGGAATCCATAATGGTTTTTATCTCTTCCAAAACATGCATATCCCCATTCATATCTCTCCCAACACATACAATCATGCATGTTACATTTATCTTGGTCAGAAAATTATTAATAATATTCCATCAGAGTTTAATTGATATTTTAGGCCAACTTTCCAGGATCACTCAGTAGACTCAATTTTAAGGTTTATCATGTGAAAAATGTAATTTAGAAACATTAACAAAAGTCCTAAATAAAATATAACTCCCCTAAATCTTGCAACTCATAATAGAAGAATGAAAATATCAAAGTATTCTCCAAACACTTTCTGTAATCTTACACAATACAGTATTTAAGAAGTTAATTTACTTTTATTTGATTTAACACTAATCCTGATTCTATTTTTTTTGTACTGAAGACTGTTAAGAGCAACAAAAATGGCTTCTCATCACATTACTCTGCAGTGATTTCTGTCTCTAACTCTTGCACTAAATCAGAAAAAAACAGAATTTTTCAACAATCTTACTTTAATTAATTTCCCATTTTTATTACACAAATATATATATAGGTCTTTGGTTATTCGGGTCTTCTCCGAATATATATTATATAATTATATATATATATTATATATATGAGAATATATATTATATTCTCATTGTTTCAGAACAGCTAAAGTATAAAGTGAAATTATTAGAGTTTGCAAAATCATCATTAGTTTAGATTTATAAAGGAAATGCAACCACTATTCCATGCTGGGAAAAGCTCTACCTCTATTTCTGCACACCATGTGTCTTTCAAATATACAGGAATATGTATGACCTAAATTACTATACAATTCTAAAAAAAGATGAATTTTTATAAAAGTCTATATTTTATGAAAACAGTTCAAAAACATCGAAAATAAGGTTTGGGTTCATCAGGAAACTTCTTTTGTTCAAAGTCTTCTAATTTCTATTTCTTATGGAACTGTTTTATGCTGTCAGGCATTTGACAGATATATCTATTATTATCTATACAGGGCTTTCTTCAACCAAAGCATATATGCTACCACAAAATTATGAAGCCATGTGGATGAAAAAGCAATTAGAGATAATACTTCAGTGTTCTTATGTCACCCGTGTGACATAAGTGTGTTTTACCTAATCCAGAATAATCTTGTTATTTTAACAATTAATTGAGTAAAATTTACAAAGGAATTCTATTTCCATATGTTTTGTTTAAATGTTTGTTTAAATTATAATAAAAAATAAAAACTGTATTTCATACATAAAGTCTTAGAATAGATTTTTAACTTTAGACATAAAGACAAACTTACCATTTTCACTGTCGGACTTGTTTTCATGCTCTGTATCAGTTAAAGTAAGAGCTGAGTTGGAACGACTTGAGAGACAGGAGCTGCGGCCTGATTTCACCCCCCTGCCCCATAGTCTCATGGCATGCTCTGGAGACATCACTCCTTCATTTTCAGTGTCAGCATCTGACCCTGCACTGATAGAGTAACCTCTGTGGGGAAGCCCCATTTCAGCACAAAATGCCAGTCCTCTTCGAGTCGCTGGTTCACAAACTCCTAACTGTCTTAGGGTAAAATTCTGTCCTAATAAGGGAAGAAAAACAAAACATAAGAATCTTTTTATTTTCTTAGAAACAGAGTAATTAAATTAAGATCACATTAACTATATAAGTTTTTCCAGTACAGTAATATTTAAAATTTTGTTGCTAAAATCCACATGGCTATAGTTAATATGTCAATTTTAAATTCTGCCATTATGTGATGAACCTTTTAATTTTCTTCATTTCACATCATTACTGCTTCCATTCTTCAATCCCTACAAAGTATTCATATATATCACTGCAAATCTAGAAGGACTGAGAACATGATGCCATCCTGTTCCTCAAGCTGATTGGGGTGTGTGTGTGTGTGTGTGTGTGTGTGTGTGTGTGTGTATAATATTTATTTATTTATTTATTTATTTTATTTATTAAATTTTTTATACTGCCCCCTATCCCAAAGGACTCGGGGCGGTGAACAGCCAAAATTAAAAACACACAATACAAATATTAAAATACATTAAAACAAAATTAAATTATCTTTGGCTTCTCCAATTTAAAACCCCTTGCCCATAAAATTCCCCAATTAAAAGATTTTTAACCCAGCCCGGCTTGCTGAAATAAAAAAGTCTTCAGGGCCCGGCGGAAGGTCCGGAGGTCCGGGATCAGTCGTATCCCTGGGGGTAGCTCATTCCGGAGAGCGGGTGCCCCCACAGAGAAGGCTCTTCCCCGGGGGGTCGCCAGCCGACATTGCCTGACAGACGGCACCCTGAGGAGGCCCTCTCTGTGGGAGCGTGTTGGCCGGTGGGAGGTTATCGGAGGCAGAAGGTGGTCTCGTAAGTAATGGGGTCCTAAGCCATGGAGCGCTTTGAAGATGAGAACCAACACCTTGAAGCGCACTCGGAAGACCACTGGAAGCCAATGCAGCTCGCGCAGGAGAGGTGTCACGTGGAAGCACCATGTCGCCCCCATAAGTACCCGTGCGGCCACATTCTGCACCAGTTGGAGCCTCCGAGTGCTCCTCAAGGGGAGCCCCATGTAGAGAGCGTTGCAGTAGTCCAGGTGGGAAGTAACGAGGGCATGAGTGACCATGCATAAGGAGTCCCGATCCAGAAAGGGGCGCAACTGGCGTATCAGGCAAACCTGATAGAAAGCCCCCCTGGCCACAGCCGTCATATGCTCTTCTAAAGACAGTCGTGCGTCCAGGAGGACACCCAAGTTACGCGCCCTCTCCGTGGGGGCCAATGTCTCGCCCCCAATAGTCAGCGATGGCACCAGCTGACTATATCGGGACGCCGGCAGCCACAGCCACTCAGTCTTGGAGGGGTTGAATCGGAGCCTGTTCCTCCCCATCCAGACCCGCACTGAATATAATCAGTGTCCACCATAAGCTACTGCAAATCCAGGGGCAACAAAAATTCCCACCTCACTACGATTATATTTCAAAGGTTTATTTTTAATGTTTGAAAGTTACTTCACATAATTTTAAAAGAAAAATAGAGAATAAAACAGTAAAAATAATACTAATCGCTTTTTTCAAAAAAATTATTTCCCACAAGTAATCTAATGTTGATCTTATATGCCTTTTTGTGGCAAATGTAAATATATGTATACCTAACAATATTATTGAAGTGAGCAGATTCAAAAAGGACAGAAAACTGAATGCATGGTTCATGAAATGCAAATAGAGTTAATGCCCCAGACCAGGCAGCTTTTAACTGAGCCAGTTAATTACTTTATTGTTGTGGTCTTATCAGTTGTTGCAATCAGTTTTATCTGAGTCAGGATTGTAAATGGATTCTAAGACACTCATAAATAATGTAAACAGTTGCTGCAATTATCTACAAATCAAAGAGTACTTATCACTATGTTGCACATACATAACAGACTAAAAATGCATGGAGGGAAAAAGATAAGTGTCTCAACACTAAATAGTCCATAATGGAAAGTAAACTGTGTGAAGGCTATTAGGATGAATCAGTAAACAATAAAACGTTTAAACAAGAATCACACTATATAGTTTACTGTTGGCTGTTTAAAGATTAAAATCTAGAATTCTCTGCACATTCACTAAATGCTGCCATATCATCAGCAATGTTTAGCTGTTGTACAGTTTGATTTTTTAGTTCTAAATTGACAAAAGTGAATGGAATATTCATTGATTCATTCATTCATTCAATGAAAATTTCTACTGCAATCAAATGACACTTGACGTATAAGATTAGCATAACTTAAATTCAAAACAGATATTTTACTATATGTCTAGGGGGTAACGCTATCATAACTTGAAAATAAGAGATACGCTGACATATTTCACCAAGCTATAAAACACTCTTTACAAACAACAATCACTGTGCTTATATGCTAAGACAAAATACTTTATGGCCTAGTATAATGTATAAAACTAGCATAAAAATTTAAAGTGTGTATGTTTATAATTCTTCTTGTGAATTCACAAATATAATATTCACCTATGTAAGCTGTCAGTCACGGTGAATATAATATTCACCTATGTAAGCTGTCAGTCACAATTTAATTTTTGACTTTCAAGCAATAGCATATAAATTCAGACTAGAAGTCTGTTTCTCCAAATACGCTATGTGCTAAAAATGCTTATTTATTTTTTTAGCATAATGTTGTGTTCCCATGTCCGTTATATCTAACAACCTATCTTTAGAAAATGAAAGTGCCAAAGATCAAATACATACATTTACTAATTTGAATATTAGCAAAAGCAGGAAGAAGCTTCATAGGAAAGTATATTTTGAATATTCAAGACTGATGTTTAAGCATTAGCTGACACGTTTATTATCAATCAATCAATCAATCAATCAGAATAGAGCTGGAAGGTCTTCTAATCCAACCCCCTGATCAAGCAGGAAACCTGTACCATTTCAGACAATATGGCAGCTCCTCATATACTGGAATACTGCTATCATGTCACCTCTACTCCTTCTTTTTTCTAGACTAGCTATACCCAATTCCTGCAACCGTTCTTCATATGTTTTTCTCTCCAGGCCTTTAATCCAGGGGTGAAATGCTCCTGGTTTGGACCGGATCACCCGATCCGGTAGTGATGGTGGTGGGTGGTTTGGAGAACTGGTAGCAAAAATCCCTGCCCCCCCACATGCCCAGCTGAGCCGCGCAATAATCAGAGGCTGTTTTTTTTAACTTTTAAAAGCATTTCTTCCTGCAACCTCTTTGGCCCGAAAAAATGCTTTTAAAAAGAAAAAGAAAAAAACCTCTGATGATCGTGTGGCTCAGCTGGGATCGTCAGAGGCTTTTAAAAGCATTTTTTTCTGCAACCTCTTAAGGTTGTAGAAAAAATGCTTTTTAAAGTAAAAAAAAAAAAAGTTGGCCATGCCCACCCAGTCACATTACCCCCCCACACACCAAGCCACACCCACAGAACCAGTAGTAACAAATTTTACATTTCACCACTGCTTTAATCATACTGCTTCTTTGGAAGAAGTTCTTTACACTTCTTCCAAAGTCTCAATATCTTTTTTGCAATGTGGTAACCAAAACTGGATGCAGTATTCCAGGTGTGGCCTTACTCAGGTTTTATAAAGCAGTATTAATAACATGTGGATGTTTTTATTTAAATTATACAAACCAATATTTACTCTTATTTTTAATTTGTTCTTATAATCATAAATGATTTTATATTTCTTATTCCTTTTTCATTCTATTAAAATAAATTAGACAAATTTTCTTTGATCTATCAACTGAAAAATATCCATGTTTATCAATCAATTCATCATATTTAAATGCTGCATATATCTATAGAATGTATTACTATTCCACATATTTAAATATAGTGTTTATCAACATTTTCTGGGCCTCCAACACTATGCTTTATTTCCAAACTATGAATCATGCAGGACAATACTAAGAAATGGTTTATTCAAAATATTTCATGCTAATTCTTGAGCATATTTGGGAGAACAATAAATAAAATCAAGAAGGAAGCTACAATTATTATGATCCCATATTGAACACCAGACTTTAGTGAAAGAAAATGTCATATAATAAAATGTGTACCAAACACAGGAATAACATCACATTCAAAGTGAATACATTTCACTTTATCATGATCCAATGCTCAGACAGATGCAGAACAGATTTGAGTAAGTCCTCATCCAGTTTACTGTGCAGACTAGTTGTAACAACTGCTATACTTTGCTATCCTTATTTTAGATTTAAAATACATATTATTGTATATTTAATATATTTGTTTATTGGTCAAATAAACAAATTTGACCAAACAATTGGTCAAATATTTATTAAAGAATGTCACTTGTAAAGTTACAAATTTAACATATAATGTTAAAATATATTTGTTCTACTAATGTATTTTGGGATTGAGTTTTTACATCAGTTTTCTGGACTGAATAAAAAGCAAAATAAATAAAATGTGCTATATTAATGTATAAAACAAATGAACAAAGGAGATATTACTTAGAATAAATATTTTACCTATTCACAAGATGTGTGTTTAAAGTACAAGCATAAAGAACGTAGTTTAATAACTAGGACCTAAAAGAGAAAGCAACATACACAACTTGGAAAAATATACATAAAGCATCTGTCCCATTTATGAATGACTTCATTGTGTATGTATATAATTATTATTATTATCAGTTTTAATCCTCTAATTTCTCTGAAAAATCCTAATATTCTTCAATACACATTCATTAATTGGCTTCTTTTCCTTTTGCATTTTTGTATTGGTTTTAAGGCTCTTTTCAAATTTTGGCCATAATATATAAGGTAGTCCTTCAGATCTGAGGTATGTAGTTATCTGTGGACACAGAGGTGGTTTGCAGTTCCTGACAATGCTCACAATTTTTTATCAGTGTTTGGTTGTGCCTATCTTCAAACCTGGTGGAGGCTTCATAGCACAGTTTGCCAGCAGGTTCTGTTAGCAGCTGCTGCTTCTTTGACTGGATGTCACAGTGATGTAAGCTTTCTTTCATAGTGTCTTTGTAGCTCTTGAGCAGTTGAGTTCTCTACCTAGACTCGAGTAGATTACACAGCAATTGG